TTAAAAAAAAACTGAAAAATGTGCAAGTGATCAAATTGAGATTAATTAATTAATAACAAGAAGCTAATTAATTAACTCACCTGCATGTTATTGTATCTGTTGAAAGTCTTGAAGCAAACAGGACAAGAAAACTGTGTTGGGCCAATGAGAATCTGAGAAGGTGTAGGGATCCAATACTGTCCCTTGTTGAGCCTATTCATCACAGACAACAACAAATTATCACCATCATCTTCTTCCTCTTCATCTTTATTATTGTCTCCATTATTCTCATGATTAATATTGTAAGAAGATGAGGACATCAAGGATGCCATGTCAGCAGGGCTAGGGTTTGGTAACCCTATATGAAGAGCAACTGTAACACCATCATAATTATCATCATCATCTCCAATAATAATATTATTATTATTATTGATGGCGACGAGATCGCATTGGCATATTTGTCACGCTATGATCGGCTCAGGGTCTAGAAGATATTTATCGCATTTATTATCTATTTTCCTTCTTTTATTGGTTGTCTTATATTATTAGTTGTCCTTTATTTATTAGGAGAATTATTATTATTTATATATTTTAATTAGGAAAATAAGGGTAGGAGCCTATATATTGTGGGTTTCTTTGTTTTGGAAGACTTGGTTTTTATCGTGAAATAAAATTATCCTTTGAAGTTCTTCTTCTTGTTCCCATCGTACGCTTCAATCTACGTCAATTATCCATGTGGGTTTGTGAAAAAGATTGAATCTTTGGCTGGTTTTGGGGTTGATCATCAAGGTTTGGTGTTGAGGGGGTTAGTTTCAGAAGGGGGAGGGCTTCCTTTAATGGAGGTGAAGAAGGTGGGGTTTGATTATGATGATGATGATGATGATGATGGCTGTAGTAATTGATTATGTTGTTGTTGTTGTTTGTTTGGTTGATGATCATGATGGTTTTTGAGTGGAGGTTTTGTTGTGTGTTTGGAGGATTTGATGATGAAGTGGTGGTGGAAAAATGGTGGAGATTGTTGTTGGGTTTGAGCCAATGAGTGTAGGGATTTGAGTAGTAGTGTGGTGGTGGATCAGTCATGGTGATCAAGTGAAGAAGATTAAAGGGAAATTGAAGGAAAATGGTGGGCTGCAAGAAAATTGTTAAGCTTTTAAGAGAGAGAGAGAGAGAGAGAAGAGAAGAGAGAGAGAGAGAGAGAGAAGAGAGGGTAGGTATGGATCATGGATGTATAGGGATTGATAAAGGCAAACAAGAAAGAAACAAATTAATAAATAAATAATAATAATAATAAATAAAAAAAAAAAAACTCAAAAAGGGCACTTTGGGAAGGTAGTGGATGAAGTTACATATACACATGTATGTGTGTGTGTGTGTGTGTGTGTGAAATTAAATTAGATTGTGTTTGGTTTGTGAGTATTTAGAAAATAAAAATCAATGTTTAGATATTATACTATATCTAAATTTTAATACATAAATATATAATACAATAAAAACAATACCTAGCAAATTTAAGTTTTAATTTTTTTAAATTGATGGTTGGTATTTCTTTTATTTTATGAGTTTTTTCGGTATTATGTTCTGTTTATTTTCGATATTTTGACTGATATTTTCTTTACAGTACATTTTTTTTGTACAATTCAGTCATAATTTTTATTTATATGTATATTTTGTGTGTATTTATATAGGACCAATGGTGGATAATGGGTTAGTGTAGTATGGTATTTTTAAAAATTAGTTAATATCTCATTTTGTAAAACAAGATGGTGAGGAGTTGTGTGGAGACAAATGTTTTAATTATCTTTTCCTTTTAATTTCCTTTCTAATTTTTTTTTTTATTTATTTTTTCCTTTTATAGATTTTGTTGAGGTTGAAGATGGTCAATATGTAATCAATTATATTTGAAGAAATTAGCTAAATCTTATGCAAGCAGAAAGTTATTTGTGGTTGAAGATTTCGAATTTAGTTGATTCATTTACATCTTTGACCAAATAACTAAAACCTATTTAGTTTTGATTTCAAAGATCAATGTAAAAAATATTCTTAATTTTTTTTGGGTGTCGGATTAGACATTAGTGTAACGATTTTATTGTATACAACATTTACTCCACCTTTTTTTCTTTCAAAATAGGAAGAAAATGAAGAAGGTCAATCTTTTATGCACAATGTACAATAACAAAAGTGAACATAAATCCCACAAAAAGTTCGATAAAAAGTCAAGAATTTTGACTCACATATTATCTGAATGTTGAAAACCAAGAAGAAATATTAAGCCCAATTTGAAAAAAATAAAAATAAAATAAGATATAGACTATGTATGGGTCCTAATTACATGATTTTTAATTAATTAAACCATGTTGAATACGTGCTAATTTAGTTACATTGGAAACATATAATTCCTTCTTTCCAACACTGATGACTTCTTCGCCATTGACTGATAATTAAGTAGAACAAATTTTCGTAATTGTTGTATTACTAACAAATAATTTGCACTGCTTTGCTACGGAGCCATTCGATAGCTCAGTTTATGGAGTCATCTATAGTTATTAACAAATGATGAATTAACACGTGCATGCATTAAATACACATTGGACACGTGTCAGTCTATAAAGGTTTACATGGCTTCATAATGGAGCGCTTCGATGGCTCTATAGAATTTTTGATAATTAACATATTTTAAAAAACCAAATCAGATAATATAATCAGTATAAGCATGTACTATATATCTTTAGTACTGTCCAAATTCAGGATAAAATTAGACGTGAAATTCAACTTAGGAGGCATTATATAGTTAATGGAATTCGATCAGATTTCATTTTCATGACTTCTAGTGTGGACTTTTATCTTATTATAATTCTGATTAAACCCTGATGTATAGATGAGCATTCCTCTGGAACCCTTGGAATTAGAAAGAGAAAGACTGCGATAACGTAAAAACCGGTTTGGTGCGGTTCGGTTACTTAAAAAAAAAAAAAAAAATCAACTCAATAATACAGATGCAAGAACTTTGTCCAGAAGAAAGCCACATGCCTTGTGATGTGCTTGGATATATGAGTCCCATGAGTCAATAACATTCACAGCCAAATTTAAATCTGTATGGTCGTAAAACGAACAAACATACCACGACCCATCATGCAAGATTCCCATTCATGATTTGCTAAAAACATCAAGGGAAATGCAATTCCTGAATGCACTTTTATTTAGCATTAAATTCCATGACCTTATTGAATTCAATAGTTCTGCTGTCGGGCAGCTAATTAAAATCTTGGCGTGAAAAAAGAAAAAAAAAAAAGCGTTTTTCAATTTAGGATTAAACCAGCAAACATCCTAAGACTAAACCACAATTAAAAGAGCCTTGTGTGACTTTCTACTTCTGATAAACAAAGGTAGGAAAGCAAATTTCTCAATACATTCAAATACCAGTGATAGTCATATCAAGTGAAGTTCCTAATCTTCCATATAAATGAGTTCGAAATAGTAATAATTCTTGGGTCATGAAACTAACATACACATCAAAATAGGGTAAATGGAGACATAACAGGATCGAGACAGAATACAGCAGCCTTAGAGAAAGTAGTTTCTAAACAAAAAGTTGAGTGATATGAAGTAATGCCAGCACTTCAATTGAACCAAACCACACGAGACAGCCTCTTCACAATTCAGTCATTTTCGCTAACTGCCTGCAAGCATAACAACAAAGCTGAACTCACAGTGTTGCCATAGGTCCATAACACTTAAAGAGATTAAGAAAGTAGAAATGTTATCCGCACAGACTGATTTCCAGACAATAAAAATCTTACTCACTTAAGTTATAAAAATCACGAGAGCCTTGAAACAATTAGAAAGAAAAAAAAAAATTATATCTCATGTCTAAGTCACGTGAGAACAATTCCATCTAGTTTCACCACCTATAATTTAACAAAAACCCAAATTCTAGAGGCCCGTAAAGCCAAAAAACTAAGCTATAACTGTAAATAGCTGTTCTAAATAACAAATCTATTGTAAGAAAATGATTAAATCACTCTTCTTTATATACCCCAACTGTAGCAAACCTATTAACTCCGCCTATGTTGTCTCAACATAGCAGGTCCCAAGCCCTGATAAAGGAGGAGGGTTGTGATAGGCTTGGCGAGCCAACGTAAAACCTAGTCGTTCTATGGAGATGAAACACATGAGAATCTTTCCATTGGTTCTCTTGGGTTTCATCTCTAGCCTACCCCAACTTGCTTGGGGCAAAAAGGCTATGTTGTTGTTGTTGTTGTTGTTGTAGCAAACCTATTATTCTCAGTCCTATATATGTACGCCCAGAGCAACCAAAATTTAAATCAGATCAAAGCACCTAACCATCAATCGTAAAGCTTTGCTGTTACTAGTAAAGAATGTCTATTCCCATTTCCCTCAATGAGGAAGAGAAGTCTCATCAAACACTTCTTGCATATCAGT